GGAGGTGGAACCAAGGAGCCGGCCTGCAATGCCTCAGGGCTGCGCCTGTGCTCAGCTCCCGGGCCTGGGTATAATACCTTCAATGCCATTGAGGATACTTACTCTTTTATGTGGTCTTTGGAACATGCAGATTATTTGTAAACAAGTGCTACTTGTTTTCATTTTTCTGTCACTGTCAAATATAATTTAAATAAACACCTAATAGGATTCCTAATAAAGAATCATGAATTGAAATTTTTTTAAAAAGAATCATGGATTATTTTTTGATCACTTAGCTTTTCCTTGTTTTATTTATTTATTTCGAATGCCCATCCCTCCACCAGTGCCCATTTCCCACCACCACGGATCCCAGCATCCCTCCCACCCCCTCCATCCCACCCTGCCTCTGTGGCAGGGCATTCCCCTCTGTTCTCTCTCTCCTTTTGTGTGTTGTGGTTTGCAAAAGAGTTAATCCTGATTTTCAGGGAGAAACATTGGATGATTTACTTTCCATTGATCACTTTGTGTAAAAAGAGATGTCCTGGTGATATCGGCTCTGTTTGGGACCTGGAGCATTCTCCCGGAGCTGTGGGGCCCTCCACCCGCTTTTCTTCTTTGTTGCTGTGTGCTGTAAGATGGCGCTGGGGGGCATCCTTGTTATAGTTTTTGGTTTTCATCACCCCGGCAATGCTGGTGGTGTTTGGGGGACCATATGGGATACTGAGGAACAAACCCAGGTTGACTGCATGCAAGGCAAGCTTCTTATGTGCTATTGTATCTGTCCGGTCCAAAATTCTTACCTTTTCTTGGGTGGTGAAAGGAGTTTTTGTTTCTGTCATGGTGTTCTCCTAATTGGGCAAGGTGACCCGGGGGTGGGGGGTGGGTGCATGTGATTTGGCAGGGCATGGCGGATGCTAATGCCAGGTGACCTTTCCTGTGAAGTGGAGCAGTGAGTCTTGGGGCATGGGGTGGGTGAGGTGCTGTAGGCTCCAGGTGCCTACAACATCAGTTTTAGTAAGGCTTGATTTTTGTTTTGTGGCTTTTCTTGTCCTTTCCTTGTGTTGTTTTATTGGGCCACACTCAGCGATGCTCAGGGTTTACTCCTAAGGGATCACTGCTGGTAGGGCTCGGGGGACCATATGGGGTGTCAGGGATTGAACTGGGTTGGCTATGTGCAAAGCAAGTGCCCTACCCTCTGTACTATTGTCCCCCTTGAGTTTTTTCCCCTTTTTTCCCCCCTTGTTTTTGGGCAACTTAGCTTGGGGTACCATATAGTGCTGGAATTGTCCTTTGGGCTTCCAGTATAAGCAAGAACTCAGTCCCACCCTATTACTGTTTTTATTGTATGACTGTGAGATATACGGTTGCAAAATTGCTCATGATAGAGTTTCAGTAGTAAAATATTCCAGCACCCGGCTTCATCAGGGTCTCCAGCTCCCCGCCCGCCCTCTTTATGCAGACACTTTCTCTTATTTTCCTTTTCGGCACCTGTGGTTTGCACTAAATACTGAATGGGTATCATGTATGTCCTTCACCTCCTTTCAGCAGCCAGTTCTTGACTGTATTCGTTTCCGACTGTCATTGTCATAGTGGTGCCTTCTCTGTCCTGATTGCGCCAACCCCCTGTGACAAGCTTCCTGCCATGGCCCTGTCCTCCTGGCCCTCGTTTCTATTGTCTTTGGAAATTATTCTCGTACTACGCTTTTTTTATATATCCCACAAATAAGTGTGATTGTTCTGTTTGTCTCTCTCCCTCTGACTCATTTCACTTAGCATGATATTATCCGTGTCATCCATGTATCAGCAGAATTTCACAACTTCATTTCTGTATCTAACGCCTGCATAATAACCCCTTGTGTAGCTGTGCCATAGCTTCTGGGCACTCAGGTTGTTTCCAGATTCTGGCTGTTGTGAATAGTGCTGCAATGAACTTGGAGTGCAGATGGTGTGTCTGCTGTGTCTTTGGGCCCCTGGGGCATATTCTGAGGAACCATATTGCTAGGTCCTATAGGAGCGCAATTCCTAGTTCCTTGGAGGAATGTTCATACTGTTTTCCACAAAGGTTGGACCAGCCAACATTCCTGCCTTGTACCCACACTCCTGCCAGCATTGGTTATTGTTCTTTGTGATGAGTGCACGTTTCTTTGGTTATTGCCCTATCCTGTCTAACCCAAGCCTAGAGATGTTCCAGGGATGTTGGAGATGGATTTGCCCTCTTTCCAGTCTGTTTCATCTTGCCTGTTTCTCTGATGCACTTGAATTTGGTGCATGATAGTCCTTACCACTTAAGGCCATCTTCTCTTATGAACTGCTGTAGGTGATCTATTTTGTTGTTGTTGTTGTTTTTCTTGGGCTGTACCTGGTGATGCTCAGGGCTTACTCTTTGGCTCCACACTCAGGGATCACTCTTAGTGGCTCTCCTCCTCCTTAGTGGAGGGCCCATGTGGTGCTGGGGGATCACACGCAGTTTGTCCATGTATAAGCAGGCATCCTACCCTGTGTGCTATTGCTCCAGCCAGTCCTGCAGTGGATGATCGTACATGGGCCAATTGGCCATATATCTATTTTCAGCTAACTTAAAAAAAAAGAAACCAACAACTGTGATTGGTTTTGTGATTGTAACATCAGTACAGAAATCTGTATTTTATCTCTTTGGGAGTTTTGGTGCCCCACCTGTGGTGTTGGGAGGCAGTTCCCAGCTCTGTGTATCCCAGCACTGTGGGTGACTCCTCACCCCCTTTAAAAAAAAACATGCCTTTGGGGGCTAGAGCCATAGTATAGCGGATAGGGTGCTTGCCCCGCATTTGACCAAACTGGGTTTGATCTCCAACAACACATATGGTTCCCTGACCACCACCAGCAGTGATTTCTAAATGCAGAGCCAGGAGTAATTCCTAAACACTGCCAGATGTGGCCTCAAAACAAAAGTCTAAAAAAGGAAAAAAGCGTATTATAGGGAATGTCAGTCAACCTCAAGGGGTGACGTAGAAACCTTGATTCAGGGGCCCATTGTTCTCAGAGGTTATACTGGTCTTTGTTGTCCTGTGTTCCATTAACCTGAATTGCAATCAGTATTATAACTACATTTGCTTCATCCCATGAGGTTTGGTGCATTGTGTCTTCTGTTCATAAGAGTTGAATTTTTGTTGTGGTTTTTGCCTTCAAACAGAGAGGATTGTTTAATTTTCAAATAGTGGAGGATTTCCAGGTTTTTTTTAAGGGAGAGGAGGGAAGAATTTCATTTGTACTGTATTAACAATATTAAAATAGAGACCCATTCCTGCATTTTTACCAATAAAGTTCTGTTTCTTGGTTTTGGGCCATACCCTGTGGTGCTTAGGACACACCCCTCGCTCTGCACTCAGGAATCTCTTGACTCTGCTGCAAACATATTTGGAAAGCTTACCTGGTGCTTATCTTTTCTTTCACTTGCTGCTCTGTCATGCAGTTCTGTTTCTTTGACATTAGGCCACGGGGTAATGCCTTGAAGGTTACCCTGAGCAACTCTGACTTCCCTTGTGGTCTCCCTGATGAACTACTTTGGAACCCTTTGTGTTGTAGGGTCTCAGTTTTTGTTTGGGGGCTGCATCTGACAGTATTCGGATCACTCCTAGTGGGGCTTGAGGGGATGCAGCGTGCAAGGCAGGTGCCAGTCCCTCAGTCCATGGATCTTTAATCTCTCTGGGGTGTCTAACTTGATAGCATCAGAATTCTTTTTTCCATTTTATGTCATATATTTTTTGCAAGTTTAGTTGTGTTTTTTTTAATTTATTTTAATGTCTTTATTTATATACTTATTAGGATTTTTGTATGGTTTTGGTTTGGTTTGGGAGCCATACTCAGGACTTTTCCGGACTGTTTCTGACTCTGCTTAGAAGTGATCCCTGGGGATCCAACCAGGGATGGGCTCTTGCATCTCACTAGACTCTCTTCTGCCCAGGGTTATGATTTTTTAAAAACAGTTTTGTTCTATTGCTTGACATACAATTCTGTTACGGGTTTGCAGTCTGCCTTTTTTCCTGGTTAATGTTTGTGGCTGTGCAGGGTGTGGGCAGTGCAGGCAGTGCTGGGCTGGGTGACCGGAACCTCCTACACGCCAGCGAGGTGGTCGTTCACTTGACCCACATTCCAGCACTTGCATCACTTTGGTTGGGATGATAAGCATTTGAAATGCTTTCTTATTTTTTAAAGATTTCTTTAAGGAATGTGTTTCGCAGGCAGTTCCTAGTTTGGGTTTCTGGCAGTTTTTATTCCAAGGGCTGCTTTCGCCATCCTACAGGAAGCCCTTTTGTGACTTTCACTACCTTTGTTGAAATAGGTGACTGGGTGGAACTTGAAAGCCTTCCATGCCTCAGGTTCTCATGTAGCCCGAGACTTGGGACACCCTCTGCATTCCAGTACTCTCAACATGACTACAGTGCTCTCCTGCTGATGGGCGAGGGCAGGCCGTGTGCGGGGTATGGTCTCTCTCGGCAGGCCAGATGGCCTGTGCTGCCTGCCCTCGAGTCTGGATCCAGGTGTTGCATGTCTTGTTCCCAACCGAATGGTTTCAAAAGGAATTCTATTCATGGCTGACATGGTCACAAGATTTGAGTTTCCTCTTTATGCCTTATTTGGGGAGGGGATATGTTGTTATGCCTATACTTCTGTCTTCCCAGAACTCCTTTTCAGAAACTAAGTAAACAGAAGACTTAATTGTGGCGAAGGTGGGGGACCAGAGAGATAGTACCAGGGTTAGGGCGTTTGTCTTGCACAATCCTAACCCGGGTTCGACCCCCGGCATCCCATATGGTCCCCTGTGTACTGCCAGGAGTAATTCCTGTGTGCAGAGCCAGGAGTAACCCTTGAGCATCACAGGGTATGACCCAAAAACTAAACATGGGTGGGGGGAGGACATGATGGAGGTTTCTGTTTGTTTCATCTCATGCTTCCTGCAGCAGGTTTTCAGAAGTTGCTTCCTAAGTTCTGAAGGTATTCATTTCGAATGATCTGTTTCTCTTTTCCACTTGATTCTCTTTTAGGCCATGCTGGTGTGTCTGCAAACATGATGAAGAAAAGGACGTCCCACAAGTAAGCACTTCTTGGCATTTGCTGTTGGGTGACAGGTTGTGGCCGTTGCTGGTGGAATGTGTGGTGTCCTGGGTGGCCTTGCCCTGACCCTGTAGTGAATGGCGAGTGTGTGGCACTGCCTCTGCCAGTTGGGGGTGTAGTGTGCAGCGGTGTCCCTGCCCATCTCTTGCCTTGTGACCTGACCTGGTCTAAGTGTCCTGCTCTGTCCTTACTCTTTGACTGCCTGTGGGACGGCTGTAGCAGTGTTGGCAGTGGTGTGGGTAGTGGGGAACCCCTCCCTCTTCTCCCCTTGGCGAGGTGGCATGTGCTGGCATTGGCTGGCTCCCTCGCCTTCCCTGACAGAGGCAGAGGCTCCTGCTGGAGGGCTGGGCTGGCACGTGCCTGGGCATCCTCCTGCTGCTTTATCAAGTTTCAATGGAATGGAAGCTTGTACTTGAGAGGAAATACATGCACAGTGAAAGATGGCCATGTATTTTGACTGACAGATGTGCTGTAGTCTAGAACTACCAGAGTACAGAAACCATTGTTTCCTCTTCCTGAAACTACTTAGATTGTGACTGGTTATGTCCTTAGTGGAAGATGGGGTACCAGCTTAAGTATCCTCGTGTGCTTTGTTCTTACTTGATAGATTTTACTAGTTACCTGCCCAAGCCAGTGGCCGCTGCTGTCCCGGGGAATATGGCTCTGGCAGATCACCGTGGGTCTGTCTTACTGAGAAATTCTGCTACAGGAAAGCCCCTGGTGGGACTCGAGGCCTCCGATGGCAGTGACCTCTAAGTTGCTCCTGTGCACAGATTGATGCCCCGCGTCTCTGGCCTCTAGACACTGAGGGGGGTCCTCCTCCCTTTCTGATTCTTAATGGCAGCCCCAGATAATGTTCTTGTGTAAACGGATGCTTGGGCCATTCGTAGATAATTGTAATGTCTAGTTTGTGAAATTCCCTGGAAAGTAAAAATGTGAAGGTAGGTAAATAAATTCTTGTGTCTTTGAAGATTTCATGAGTTTCTCAAACTTTATTTACTTTTAGGGTTCTGCCATACCCGGTGATATAATTTATGCAATATGATATACCTATTCACTACCACATTGTTCTCATAAATAAAAGCTTTGTCTTCCCACACGTAGAAATAGCAATCAAAACATTTATAATATGTCATAAATATCAGCTGCTTTTAAAATTTTAACTGTAGTGGTGAGTCAGAAGTAAGTTACACATGAACTTTGCAGAGCAGAAGTTCATGCAAAGTAGGTTTGTGAAAGTTTTTAGTGTATAAGTTTGGGAAAAAGGGACACTCATTTACTAGAGGTGAGAATTCACTGTAATTTGACCTAGAAGTCAATATAGTGATGACTCAAAAAAACTAGCAACCGAACTTCCATATGACCCAGCAATCCCACACCAGGAATCCCAGTCCTCGGAATATACCCAAAGGACCCAAACACACTGCAGAAAAGCCATCTGCACTCCTGTGTTGACTGCAGCACAGTCACAATAGCCGAATCTGGAAGCAGCCCAAGTGCCCAAGAACAGACGACTGGATAAAGAAGCTATGGCACATCTACACAGTGGAGCACTACTTGACAATATGAAAAGATGAAGTCATGCAGTTGAATGCTATGTGGATGGATCTGGAGGGTATCGTGTTGAGTGAAGTTAGAGAGGAGGGACAGACAGGATGATCTTGCTCATATGTAGGCTGTAAGGAAACTTCTTCATAAGGGAATAATGGCCCCAAAGGCAGTAGAAACTGGGAGCAGGAGAACTGGTCTTCAGAAGGAAGCTTGGTGCTGGGGCGGGGGTTGGGCGGGAGTGATAAATGATGACAGGGAACACCAGGACAATGGAGAAGGGATTGCTGTTGGAATATTGTATGCCTGAAACGTCATAATGAATGACTTTGTAATTCTGTCCTTCATGGGGATTAAAAATTTAAAAATCATAAATGAAATATGCCTTTGAGAATGCAGTGTTGGTGCTAGAGTGATAGTACAGCAGGTAAGGCACTTCCCTTACGTGCAACTGATCTGAATTTGATCCCAACACTCATGTGGTCTCCCCAAGCCAGCCAGGCATGATTCCTGATTGTAGGGCCAGAACCAGGATTAAGCCCTGAGCACTGCCGAATGTGTACCTTCACCAAGCCTCCTCCCCCCCCCCCCCAAAAAAAAAAAAACAACAAAAACAAACTCAGTGTCTGTGTGTGTAGGGCTGGGGGCTGGGAGGGCCCTCTCTCTCTCCTTCCAGGTTGAGCATGTGCACATTGACCTAGTGACTTACATGGAAACATGTTTAGCTCACCTCCATTCCATCCACAGCCTTGAATATGTTGGTATAGAGTGAAAAGCAGAAGTTGAAATGAAAAGTGAGGGATCTTGTTTTCCTAGTGCAAATTCTGGAAAAAGCATAGAATTTTTCCAGTAATGGCTGTAAATGGTTCTTGGGAAGGGGAGCAGGGCTGCTGGCGGTGACGAGGTCACGCATGCTTAACCTTTGAGTCAGGAGCAAGTACCTTCATCCACCTGCTTCCAGCTCTGCATTGCACCCGCTCAAATAGTGGGTGCTTCTCAGCATGGGGTCCTTCCTACAAATGAAAACCAAGGAGAAGAACAGCCAGAGCCTCTCTCTCCTGCCTGCCCGCAGTGTTGCCCTCGAGGGAGTGGGTTCAGAGGGGGCAGCGTCCAGCACTGACATACTCCAAAAACCATGGCAGGACATCCTCTCGTCTCGGTACCCAAAGCCGCTGAGAAGGAACCCAAATCCAGATGTCTCTGTTTGCCAGGGGGCACTGTGGGCACTTGCAGGGGGTGTGTGCTGACAGCGGGCAGAAAGGAGTCTGTGCTGGGTGTGTGTCTGGGCTCTGGGATAGGCCGAAGGGTTTGGGGTGGCCACCCTGGACCCAGAAGCCTTACCTATTACCTGTTGGGTCTTGTTTTGCAAATGGAAACAAAATGCTTTCTGCAGGCTCCCCGCCCTGCTGTGTGGGGACATAGTAGTCTCTGACAAGGCTTGCCAGGCTTCCAAAGAATTTGTTTTCAGATGTCTTTCTGTTTAATTTGGTTTAATACAGTGGACAGATTTCCATGTCAGGGCACTGAAGGGAAGACAGCTACTTAGGTATGTTTCTCCCTAAAGCAGTTAGGATGAGCAGGGCCTGTGGCACTGCAGTCTCCCTCCTAATTGCCCAGATCATACCAGCCACAGACAGGCATTGCCACTGCCGCTTCTGCCTGGTGTGGGCCCAGGTCACTCGGGACTCCTGCCTAGGAGGAATACGAGCCTGTTGGTCCTCTGAGTCCGCACCGCTCTGAAGTGATAGAACCTGGAGAGACCTCGTGGAGCAGTGTGAGGTGTCTAACTCCAGATCAGAATTTAGAATCAGGACAGTGATCTTAGGAGTGACTGTGCTTTATTTTCTGAACGGCCTGCTTTGTTGTCACATCTGGAGAAAATAAAAATATTTCCCTCATAAATGCCTTAGTCTGCTGTTGGTGCCGGTGTCTAATAAAGCCTGGGTGTTGGCAGTCTTGCTGTGCCAGTCAAGGTGCAGTGATTTCTCACGCAGCAGCGACTCCTGTGAATTCGCACTGTGAAGGTCACTCTTTACCCCTGTGACCTCAGGACTGGTGCCTACAGGAAAGCTGAATACTCTAGTTGCTTTGGAGCACCCCCACGCCTGCCCCTTCAGGCATTTTGCTCTTAGCTGTGGACATCTCTGGTATTCTCAGGGTGAGAGAGACGTAAAAGATGGTGGAATCAGATTTCTTTCTCCATCTGGTTTTACATTGTCATGTTAAATTGGCTGTAGAACTCTACTCAAACTGCAAGTACTGAAAAGCAGTTCTTTTTTCCCCCTCTGCTTGCTGCTTGCCTCTCACGAAAACAGTGGAATTGATTTAATTAATTTGATTTAATTAATGGTTTAATTAATTAATCTTTTAAAAAGTCTGCTGAAGCATAAATAAGGGCACATTTTTTATGCCACAGTACTAAATAGGAACAAGGAAAGTGTCAATAGTGAATCATACACAACGTGTACAGTGAGCAGCCGGTGTTTGTTTCCTGGTGGAATTGTGATCATTTAAAATTAATCCTTTAATATGTGAATCCCTGGGTTTGATCCCCAGCATCACCAAAATATGTATTTTTTAAGTTAAAAAAAAAACTTTGAAAGTGTGTTGCCTTTAAATGTTGACTACGAAGAACAAGGCCCTTGACTGAGAAGTGGTGAGCGAGTAATGTCACAGCACAGGGTTTGAAAATCTCTTCCGCTTGCGGCTCCTTTTCGTCCAAGAAATGCAGGTGAGTGCTGCCAGAAATACCTTGGACTCAAAAACGTGTTAGATCTTGAATGGATTTTTGGTCAAGAATAATGTGTCGTGCAGTAAGAGTGTGGACTTTTAAGCTCAGTCCCGTTTTCTGAGTTGGTGCCGTCCACGGTGTGGCCCTAGAATCACAGCACTGGGGGCTTGGTGGCTCCTTTGTCCCTCTCTAACCTTGTAGGTTGCAGGAGTCTCTTCATAAACTTTTTGGTGACACCAGTTAGAATAGACTGGACCTGACCTGTCATTAGCGGCAGTGCCTCCTAGGCCAAGGCTGCAGAAGTTAGACCCAGTCACAACAGTGGAAGGTGGTCTGTTGTGGTGGTCACTCTTGGCTCCTGGATACTTGGGGACTGATACATACAGCTGAATACTTTAATCGCTTTTTTCCTCTGGAGTTATTCTGGAAATAATCTCTTGAGATAAGACACCCGGAAAAGAGATAGCCACTTAATTCTGATATATCTTTTTTTTCCCTACTTGAGCTTTTTATGGGGGGATCCTGACAGGACAACTTTTTGCTTTTAGTTATAATTCTGGCTATACTGGCATTGAGTGGAGTTTGTTTACGGTATGGCTGCTTACTACTTATTAAATGGTAGTTAGACTCCTCGAGAGATTGAGAATTATTAATAATTAATAATTATTAATAATTATAATAATTAATAATTCTCAATTCTGTGGGTACTTTTCCTGTGTGGTGATGGGGATCAAACCCAGGTCTCATGCATCCAAGGTCCACTCTGTCCTCGAGCCACATGGCTGCCCTGAGAATTACTCTTTTGGGGGCAGTTGCTCAAGTGTTCAGTGTTCAAGATGCATATCAGACAGGGTGTGTGTGTGTGTGTGTGTGTGTGTGTGTGTGTGTGTGTGGTGTATGTCAGACTTGTGGTGCTCTTTTTTTCCTCCCTTTTTGGGTCATACCCGGCGATGCACAGGGGTCACTCCTTCCTCTGTACTCGGGAATTACCCCTGGCGGTGCTCAGGGAACCATATGGGATGCTGGGAATCAAACCTGGGTCAACTGCGTGCAAGACAAACGCCCTACCCGCTCTGCTATCGCTCCAGCACATGACAAGGGGTACTTTGGAGCTCCTCCCAGCTTGGTGCTCCAGGGATCCCTCCCTGTGGTTGGTGGGGGCACTAGCAATTAAATTGATGCCTCCCGCATGCAAGGCATGCTCTCTGGCCTGTTGAGTGGCCTCTGGCTTCCATTCCGAGTTTTATTGGGTACAGACGATTCTCGGTCATCCACATTGCACAGAGGAAGGTGACTGTAAAACAAGCCTTGCACACAGAGGCAGTTTTAAGCATAAGACCAGAATGAAAGGATGCATGATCCATTTTCAAAAGGGACAGCAGTCAGCCAGCTGTGGGTCGCTGACCCCTGGCCCGAGAGAAGCAGTAGCGTGTGCTTCTGGGCACCGGGAGGAAGGCTGTGGCTTCTCTCCATACGTAAGCGCACTGCTGAGGAATGCCACCCACAGCTTCGGCCCGTTTCCTTTCGGTGATGTTGAGAAATGAGATAATAGAAATTACTTTCCTTTGAGTCTGAGGTAGACTTTTTGTGGTTGTAGTCAGTTCTCCAGAGAAAAGAAACCAATGCTGTAGGGAGTAAGGACACAGCCATAGGCTGATGCTAAAACTCAAATTTTCTTTCTTTTTTTTTTTTTTTTTCTTGTTGTTTTGTTTGTTTGGGTGCCACACTCTGCTCAGGGATCAGTCTCAGTGGGGCTCAGAGTATGTGGTACCAGGTATTGAACCTGGGTTTGGTCTATACAAAGCAAGAGTCCTACTTGCTGTACTCTCTTCAGCCCTGGGGAAGGTTGTGTGTGTGTGTTTTTAAATTTAATATCTGTGTTTTGTTTTTTAGTTTTGGGTAGTTCTGGTATATGGAAGTTGATCAGTTTCTCTTCCTTGCCATCTGTCTCCATGCACCACTAACTTCTCTGGTTCCTGGGGTTGTTTCGGTTTGAGGGCCACATCTCGTGCTCGGGACATACTCCTGACTCTGTGCCCAGGGACGACTCCTGTGGTGAGGGGGGTGGGGGTCGAAGCAGGGTTGGCATTGTGCAAGGCAAATGCCCTACCCTTCTGTTGCTCAGTGCCCCTCACCTCCACAACTCCAGCTATCTGTCCAACTGTGCAGGTTCAGATAGTATAGCCTTGGGCCAGAGAGGGCGTGAAAGCTTGGGGTGTGAGGGTTCTAAGAAGTCCCTGTACCAGGTAGCTCCCAAGCACCAAGCTGAGTGCCACCAAAACCCCAAAAAATATTTTTAAAAAATTAAGTTTATGTTCATGATATACCAAATGAGAGCTTCCTTTATGTTGATGAAATTGTGAAAAGAAATTGTTTTCTCTTCATTTTTCCTTCTTGGCATATAGTAGTAGCTTTAAGAGCTCATGTAGTGCTGGCCTTTGTCAAGCTTGCTTCAAGCCAAATTTTGTCCCTTGTCTTTGGATTTCTAGGTGATCGAGGATTTTTTTTTTCCTGACATCAAGATCCTGATGTATTATTTGTAAACATTGTATGTAGGTTTTAATTGTTAATATTCCAGAAAGAATGTAGTTGTTGTGATTTACATAATTCTTAATGTGTTAAATACTTGTTATGAATTTTTAGTTTTAAGATTTTGTATTTTCTAGAGAAGTAAAGATAATGCATGGATAGAAGCCAGCATAGATTCCAGGTTAAGTAAAAGCTAATTGTCCAGTTGATTTTTACTACTTGAGCCATGGGAAAGAATGGGCAAAATCATGCTACACATTATTTATTTTTGCTTTTTGGGTCACACCCGGCGATGCACAGGGGTTTACTCCTGGCTCTGCACTCAGGAATTACCCCTGGCGGTGCTCAGGGGACCATATGGGATGCTGGAAATCGAACCCAGGTCGGCCACGTGCAAGGCAAACACCCTACCTGCTGTGCTATTGCTTCAGCCCCCTACACATTTTTTTTAAAACCTAATCTGTGTTCGTGGTATATAAAGCCACATGCGTGTATAACACGGTCCTGTGATCAGGTTTGATTAATGTGTATAATCGAAAATTTATTGAATTAGAGAAAAGTGAAAATCGATGCTTAATATTCGGACTTCAGCTTGGGATGCACAGGAATCCCTTGTTGCTAACAGCGTGTCCATATGTGTACACGCACGAGCAGTGGGGCAGGCTGTGTGACCGCACTTCAGGCTGTGGAACGGCCCCTGCCCTGGGAGCCCTTTGGTGGGATGACAGGGGCTGGGCTGGGGGCCGGGGGGGGGGGGGGGGGAGTAAGCCCGGGGCTTAGGCTCACTGGTGGTGAGACGCCAGTGAGCTGTGGTGTGTGGAATCTGAAATGCATATTTACACGTGTGTCTGTGTGAACGCAGAAAACATCGGAGCAGTGTGGGGCCCAACAAGCCCGTCTCCCAGCCCCGGCGGAACATCGTAGGCTGCAGGATTCAGCATGGGTGGAAGGAGGGGAATGGCCCTGTCACCCAGTGGAAAGGAACCGTGCTGGACCAGGTGCCTGTAAATCCTTCTTTGTACCTTATAAAGTACGATGGATTTGACTGTGTTTATGGACTGGAACTCAATAAAGATGAAAGAGTTTCTGCGCTTGAAGTACTCCCTGATAGAGTTGGTAAGTTCTTTATTTGTGTGTTTATATGCTTTTACCGTGATTATTGAAATGGGCCCTTTTTGATTATTTTGTATTGCTAGTGTTTAAATTTTTATTAGTTTGTAAGCACTTCGGTACATAACACAGTCACTTAAAGGCACAAAACTTGATAACATTCTAGTTCAAGAAATGGTGAGGGATCAAAATAAGTATTAAAAAGTTTCTGTTTTAATAACTTCCAACATTTGGCTCACTCTTTGGACTCTTAATTTGAATATCATGTACTAAGTTTTATCTCAGTATATTAGAAAAGTCTACACTTCCTTTAGAATACGTATATAAATTGCATCTTTTATTGTATATTGTTACATGAAAGGTAGTTGTACTTTCAGCCAAAATAGAAGCAGAATGTGTCAGCTTTAGTACAGATTCCTCTGGTTCTGCTTGCACATTTGTGGGAATGAGTGGCTGGGCTTTGGGGGGTAGGGTGGGAGCTCATACATGGCAGAGGGGGTAGCCGTACAGTGCCGTGAACCTGGGGCTCCCTCATGCCAAGCACTTGGATCGGCCCTTTGAGCTGTCTTCTGTTCCCAGCTGTACGTACCTGATAGTGTAATGCTTCCATTAGATAGGAAAGACATGTAATAAGAATGTTTTATTTTTAAGGTTAAAAAAAATTTAACATCGGTAAGGATATATGTAAAATGATGTAATTTTATCTTCAGAAGACTGAAGTGTTTGGTTACCCTCGTGATGGCCTGTGGCTTGGGTCCCAGGTTACAATGTGGAGCTGACTCTGCAGCTGTGCCACCAATAAATAAGGGCAACCTCTGGGCTCTCAACTCAAGGAGTCAGCTTATCAGGAGAGGAAATTCAATTCTTCCCCAAGCCCAATACCTTTGTTTTTGCCCTGTGTTCTTGGGACATGTACTTCTCAGAAGGTTGAGTCTTTCTGTTGCGTCTTGCTTCGCACCCTGTAGTGCTCAGGGCTTACTCCTGGTTCTGCACTCGGGGATCACTTCTTGCAAATAGGCTATGGGATGCCAGGGATTGAACCCCGGTGGGCCAAGCACAGGGCAAGCTCTCCAGCTCTCAGAAGGTTCTTTGCTAGGGCAGCACTTTGGTCACTGTTCTTTTAAACTATCAGTGATTGAAATCTGTATTCATCCTTTATAACCCTAGTGGGATTTTCACAAAAATCTTCTTTAAATTCCAATTTTGACTGTTACTCTCAAAGGTAGCTAACTGTCAAAGGTAGCTAATGGTATAGTGTTAATCTTGAACATTTCATCCATTTTCATCTCCCGTGAATGAACCAAGCACCTCATTCTTCTTAATGCACTTTTTGTTTTCTCTTGACCTTGACATCAGTTGATTTTCATCACAAGAAACTAATACTTCAGAATTCTGAGTCAGGAAAAATAGTGCTCAAACCTTGTAGCGATTATTTGTGCTAAATAAATTTGTGCTAAATAATCATGCTTTCTCTTTCTGACTCGGCACACCTTCTGGGATAAGGATAAAACTAGTAGCTCATGTTGCTACTTTTGTGCAACAGGGAACAGTAGTGTGTTCTTTTTGTCTTCAAAAGACCAAAAAACCCCTTCATCTTGATTAGAAAAAATATTTGACCAAACAAAAATAACCAAAAACACAGCTATCTCTAGGGATGGAAGTACGTGTGCAGGTGTGTGTTCGTTCACTCGTTTTCACTTGTGCTTGCTGTGTTCTTTCCTCCCTAGTATTGGGCATCTTCCTTTCCAGAGTAGAAATCATTGCTATTGCTAGTGGTGAAGTAGGACGCTTTTTTGCAGATTTGGGGGTAGGAACATCCACTGGTGCTTAGGACTTACTCCTGGGATCACATTTGGTGGCACTTAGGAAATTTGTGTGGTCATGGGGATCAAATCGGGATCATCCACATGCAAGGCAAATGCCTTAATCCTACTGTTACTTCTCTAGTCCGACCATTCAGTTTGATGTAGTTTCAGAAAAGATTGAGGAGGACTCGTGGGTACTCCTTTTCTCACAAGAAGACTGCTCATTTTTGTGAGATGGGGTTTTAGACATCAAACAAAAGAATATAGCTGATAAAATACTAAAACATCTAGTTATTCTTTTGAAAAGTCACATGTTAGTGGATTTACAAGACAATCAACTGAAGTTTCTTAGAAGTTATTTTTTATTAAATATGTGTTTTTTTAAGATATATTAAATTTTAATTTCTGAAGTAGTTGATACTGATAATTATAATCTGTGTAAGCAGTGTAAAGAGTGCTGAGATGAAAAAGCTTGAGAGCTGCTGGTTGTTGAGTGTTAGGAATAGGGTGGAGTTGTATGTTGCTTGTTGGTACTTAACTGCACAGACAGAAGTACCATATCTTTTGAGTCTCATAAAGTTGCTTAGCAGGATCTTGACGAAGACTTTTCCATCTTCGCTCGTTTGATTTTTTTTTTTTCTTTTTGGGTCACACCTGGCGATGCATAGGGATTACTCCTGGTTCTGCACTCAGGAATTACCCCTGGCAGTGATCAGGGAACCATATGGGATGCCGGGAATCAAACCCTGGTCAGCCGCGTGCAAGGCAAATGCCCTACCTACTGTGCTATTGCTCCAGCCCCTAAATTTTTTTTTTAACAGGAATAGAAATGATTTTGAATGAATAAAATAGAAGTGCTAATTTTTTTTTAAGTTGGATATCTAAAACGGGAAGACATGAAGCGTTAAGGATATGTAGGATCCTCCGCAATTTTTCCACTGTTGAATATACAAAGGAAGGTTGTAACTTTCCACCTGCTCAAAGGGTAGGGTCCCGTACTGCAGCCAAGGACTCTGGGTAGTTCCTGGGCAGTGGGGAGGCCTCAAGCCTTCTTGGGCAGTTGCTGCAGCTCCAGAAGGTTCCTACAGCCTTGTACATGTTGAGGTGGAGAATTCTCTGCTTCTTCTCCCAGTAGGCAAGTGAATGCAAGTAGAGAAGCCAGGGAGAGCCCGAAAGGCCAATGCATGTCCTTTATGTGCAGGGACCTGGGCTTACCTGACACCTCAGGATTCCTTGAGCCCTACTGGGAGTGATCCTGAAGTACTGGGGCAGGAGTAGCTCTTGAGCACTACAAGGTGTGGCCCCCAAAATAAAGCACTCAGAACAGTCTTGCTACAGGTAATATAAGTGTCAGTTAGACATCCTGTGAGGCCAATAGGTTTGTGGTGTCTCTGGCCTTGGGTGACCTGCAGGAGCTTCTTCTGATGTTGCAGGGCCCGGGACAGCTGGGAAGAAGCAAGATGTTGCAGGGCTCAAAGGACACCTATGTGTGAGGACTAGGTAGCAAGGAAGAGACAATAACAAGGCCACCCACGTGTGGCAGATGCCGGTGAAGGGCAGTTTATTGTTCTGAGGGTGGAAGGAAAGCCCTGAGCACGGTGTGACTGCACAAATACTCCATCAGTGGTGTGACTGCAGTAAGGGTGCTGGGGTCCAACCCAGGTTGGCCACCAGCAAGACCGGTGCCCACCCAGTGTCTCCTTTCAGTTAGCCTTCACAGCTGTTCGGTGGAACTGTTGTAGACCGCTGTTTGTCTTCTACCCTCAGCAACATCACGAATCAGCGACGCACACCTAGCAGACACGATGATCGGCAAGGCGGTGGAGCACATGTTTGAGACTGAAGACGGTTCTAAAGACGAGTGGAGGGGCATGGTGCTGGCGCGAGCACCAATCATGAACACATGGTTTTACATAACGTATGAGAAAGATCCTGTCTTGTACATGTACCAGCTCTTAGACGATTATAAAGAAGGCGACCTTCGCATTATGCCCGATTCTAGTAAGTATTTTGTGACAGCTTTTGTTTGTGCTAACACAAACGAAAGTTAAAATTTAGAATATTATTTTTCAGGCATGCATCAAGCATTAGGCTAAGGAATCTTTTTTTTTTTTTTTTGGCCCCTTTGCAAAAAAGATAATTTCTTCCTGCGTAGATTTCCCTATTCAGGACTGTGGCTTTGACATGGATAGCTTGTATAAATCACATGAACCCTTTTACCCAACGTCATACTTTCAAGATTACTCAGTTGTGGCGTGTGCCTGTATTTCATTCCTTTTGATAGCAAGCCGCAAACTGTTGGGTGTCCACAGTGTATTTGTCGGCTCATCCCCAGGTGGATAGGTGCATTTTCTCCCTTTCAGCTGCAGTATTTGTCAGGGTCCACACACACTTGTGCTTTCACCATGCTTCCTGGTGGCTGCACACCAGCCTCAGCACTTGCACACTTGAGTGTGGTGGACTAGAAGAAACCCATTCTGGTGTGGTAGCAAAGATCTCCGGTGGTGATGGATCCACTCTCGTTGCATGTGGAGCCGTGCCTGGGATCATGCTTCAGCCTTGCAGGACAGGCAGGCATTTTACCATGCAGCTGGCCCTGGGGCATTTGTTTCTATTGCCAGTTCTTTGGGCATCGTTTATTGAAAATTCCTTTTGCCCTATTGACCTACTGAAGTTTCGGTACCTGTGTTAAAAGTTAGTGAGACTCCAGTGTCTGGGCATATTTATGGCCTTTCTCTTCTGTTGTTTTAGTCCCCTTTGCCCGTAGTCACCCGTGGCCAGGCCAGTGCCATAGTCTGTGTAGTAAGTTCTGAAATTAGGAAGTGTGAATTCTGTGTTCCTTTTTTGAGTTGGATCAATCTTCGGCGTCTTTTTTGTAAGCATTTCTACAAAGCCACTGGCTGGGCCCCCAGGCCACTGTGGGATGGATTGCATGCCGAGCTTGAGCAGGGGGTGTGTTTCCACTTACCAAGATTTTTTTTCTTTCAATAATACATATTTCAGAGTGCAAGTTTTATATTTATTTTATTAAAACCTTCTTCCTAAGGTTTAAAATTTTTTCTTCTATTGAGTGGAATAATTAATTTCATATTAGGTTAGCGTCTTTTTTTAAACCGCCCTGTAATCTTTCTACGCCTCACAGGTGCTTGATCCTGAGGATATCTGTCATGTGTGTGGGCACTGGAATGAAAATACGTTCAAGCATGTGTCACAAAAACAGCAAGGAAGGGATGGGGGGGAAACAGAATAAAACATACATTTTACTTTCTTTCTGTGTAGATGGGGTCATTAGATCAGCTGGTGTGCTTGTCATATGCTTTCCCCCCCTACTTTCCAAACTGTTTTTGTGTTTCAGTTTTTTTTTTTTTTACCATTTGTTGTACATCTGTTAAAAGGACATGATAGAAATAATGACTGTGGAAGGGGGTTCAGTCATTGCAGTGCTTGAAAGGATTCCTTCAGCCTGTATGAAACAAATTTGTTTTTCGGTGGGGAAAAACCCAAAGTCGTGCCCTGCTGATTGGGTCATTGTGACACTTTTGTGTTTTGAGGACTCCTTAGCAAACAGGGCCGTGATGGGGGGTCTGGTGTAGACCACTGCCCTTGGCATAAGAGAGGCACAGGCAAAGTAGAGGAAAAGAATCAGACTCGTCTCTCCTTCACTCACTCTAAGGCACAGTTGTTGGCCTGCTGGGCATCATGTGTGTTGTGTTACATATATGTTGTGTGTTCCTGTTATAGGGAGATCAGATGGGCAGCCTTTGCACTTTGCCCTTCAGGGAGGGACTGTTTTGTAATATAAACGCAATCCATGTCCTACTCCAGGCTGCGTTAAGAATGAGGTGGAGGCTTACCTGTCATCAGTGAGATGTTCCAGGAGAAACAGCACCCTGATGTCAGGATAAGGTCACCCTTCCTCAGGCCCTCGCGCCTTTGAGCACATCCAGGAGAATCATAGCCACCTTCCCACCTCCCTCCTCCCCTTCCTAGCCTCTGTGTCTAATGGTGCTGATGGTTTACTGGGACTTCATGAGCCATATAAGCATTACTTGTACTCTACAGAGTATAAGTAATGCTCTCCAGCCAGCCTGGAAATGATCTGGGGCGCACACACAGGACCTTCCTCTGTGATGCAGTCCATTTAGTGTCTGCTCCTGCTTTTCTAGAGGGGAGGTTGAGAGGCCAGATCCGGTGGTTCTCAGAGCTGCCCCTAACTCCATATCTTCGGATTGCTAACGATCGTGTCGGGGGCCTTGTTGTACTGGGAATCAAACGCAGGTCTCCTGCAGGCAACGCCTACACTCAGCTCTTTGAACTCTCCATCCTTCGCACCCATTTATAAAGCGTGGGAGATCTTTAATGTGGAACTGGGTGAGGAGGATTAGATGGAATGCAATCAAGGGAATTTCATGTTTTACAGAGTAAGACCAGGCATTCCAGTCGGAATTACTTGCTTTAAAATTCTGTTCTAGAGTAATTCAGACTGTTTTGTAATGGCTGCAGACAGAGCTCAGTAGACCCCTGACACGGCAATGTGTCATTGGTTTTTTTTTTTGTTGTTGTTGTTTTTTGTTTGTTTGTTTTGCGTTGCTTCTTTTAGTTCTGTTTGGCTTGGTGTGGTCACACCAGCATTGCTCAGGGGGCTGTTCCTGGCAGTGTGCTTGGGGAAGAAATCGCTGCCCTTGGCAGTACCCAGGGGACCATATGGGATGCCGGAGAGAGAAGGCCTTGGCCTCCTGTGTGCAATGCATGGGCCCACCCAGCCCCTTGAACTACCGCTGTAACCCTTCTTTTAGTTCTCTCAGGTAATTACACCTATAAAATGTAATGTTAAATAATATCACAGCTTAAAACAAGATAAGGCAAAGGAATTGATGGTTATGGTGTTCAGAACGGTTTACATGTGTAGATGGTGAAGGTTGGTACACAGTTTCTGTAAATAGAATTGTTAGCACCCAGCGTGTGTGATTCCTGCATGCGTGTCTGAGCTGCTTTCGCTGTGGCAGGGCCTCATTGCCTAACATTCCCAAGCTTGTCATGTCTCCCCATTGAAGAAAAAAATCTTGCTGAGTCTTGATCTAGAGTAGCATTTGCCAAAGCAGGCAGTGTACTTTCCTACCCTTGGGGATACTGGCATGATCCAGGGGTTAGGAGTGGCCTTGAGTGCAGTTTAGGGAATACATTCTATTGGTGTGTTTAAAAATGGTAGGGGCCACAGGAACGGTATAGTGGATCGGGCATTTGCCTTGCATGTGGCCAACCCAGATTCCATCTCCAGCTTTCCATACTGGTCTCCAAGCAATGCCAGGAGTAATTTCTGAGTGTAGAGCTAGGAGTAACCCTAGAACATTGCCTGGTGTGGTCCACAAACAAAGAAATAGATGGCAAGGTGTGTGTGTATGGGGGGGGGGGGGGGGGAACGGGGGCGTTGCATGGCCGGCGCTGCTGAGGTGTGTTTTCTCAGAAGGGGGAAGACAGAAGTTTGGGAAACTGGTTTAGAAAATCAAGATGAATTCAGGATATTAGATTTTTTTTTATTTGATCATTCTTCTTTTACAGTTTTTAAAAAATTGAGTAAAATTCATCTTAACATAGACATGTGAGCCGGTGTGTACCTAAACATTGACTTGAAATCTCACCCCACCCTCAAATACAGATGATTCGCCTCCAGCAGAAAGGGAACCGGGAGAAGTTGTGGACAGCCTGGTAGGCAAACAAGTGGAATATGCCAAAGAAGACGGCTCTAAAAGGACTGGCATGGTCATCCATCAAGTGGAAGCCAAACCGTCTGTCTACTTCATCAAGTTTGATGATGATTTCCATATCTATGTCTACGATTTGGTGAAAACATCCTAGATGTCATCATGAACTTGGCCAAATTTGTGGAACTATTAAATGTATAATTTGTAGACATAAAGACTTGATTGCTTTCCAGTTTAATGAAAGCTTAAATGTCCCTGCGAACCCACAATCTCTGCAGCAGAACTGGTTTTGTTCTGAGTAGTACAGATTTATGTGAACACAGAGCATTTTGTGTCAGGAACTCCTTCCTCTTAAAAGAAGTCTGTCTGTTCGGAGGGGAGTTACAGGCAAGTTTGGTAAAGTTCAGCTGGTATCATACATTTAAACTGACAGATCTTCTCCATCTCCCCCTTCACTCTGATGAACTCTCTTACTCTGCTGCCACAATGCAAGCATAGTTTGGTATTTTTGTTACTGCCTTTTTTGAGATATATATGTATCTATATCTACCTATCTATATATCTGTGTGTATACATATGTAATATATCTATACACACACACAAATCTGTACTCACACACACGCACACGCACACACGTCATTTGGCAGTCCTTTGTGGATTGGGACAGAGTTTAAATAATTTTCTCCAGTTTAACAGGAGTGCTTGACCCAAGTCAGTCATATTTACTATATTACTGCTATTTATTTAAGAAGAATTTGGGCACATAAGGATGGTCAGCTTGTTCTGAAAGCCAAGATCAGAGCACGTTTTCAATCTGGAGGCTTTAAACTGTAGGTCCAGATATGAATCACTTGTGAATAGATACCGACCCACGTCAGAACTTAACAAAACAGAAATCTGCATTAAAGGCTGCCTGTAATTAGAAACTTTGTAAATTTTTTTTTTGTTTACTTCGTTTTAATCATCAATACTTTTTTTTTTTAAAGCCCAGGTACTTGGTTCACACAGTATAGTATGGACAGCACACTGGCCCACTCTTTGTACAAACCAGCCCTGGATTTTAGTCCATGGGTTTCAAAGGCAGCAGTACATCAGTGGCTTGTGTGCATGTGGTAAGTTCTTGGAAGAGCATAGTGCTGTTATGTTACAAACATAAGTTGCAGAAGGGTGACGTTGCCTTCTTGTTCCCTGGGACGCTTACTACTCTTATGACAGATGTGTGCTTCTGGTCAGAAGACTCGCGCCCTCACTCCCCTCCCTAGCTGTTCCCCACAAAAAAATGACAGCTGAAATCTCTTGACACCTTTTTGCGGTGCTGTTTGTTCTTGCTCATGGTGTGCTGTCAACGTAGCTTCATTGCATCAGTGGACTCTGCCACATTAGGGTCACCCGCCCACCATAAGTTGTTGGGTATAACCAAAATAGTGAGCCTTAGCCACAGAATCCTGTTGTGGCTTATTCCTGCCTGCACACGGTAGTGTTTAGTTTCATTTTGTTTTGTAACCAAAATACGACTCCCAAAATGGTTGATTTAGTCGCCAAACACAGCAACTGTGTTTTGGAGGACCCTGGCAGTTGGAGAGTTAGGAGGAAGGTGAAAGCAGTCTCTTGTGGAGATGAGAATCACCTGACCCGGGATTGGATGGAGCAGGGGGCTGTGAGAAGCTCTGCATGGCTGTGTGCTGTCAGGGCTGTGGTTTCAGGGCTTCACTCCCAGTGTTCCTCTGGCTGCTCTTTCCCCCTCCAAGAAGGCATGTGCCTCACCCACCTGGAGGCAGCTTCTCCTGGCCGCACACAGCAGCACCTTGTCCTCAGCGGTGTGTGGCCGGATAGGCTGTCCCAGACGGTGGGTCCCTGGGTCGAGGCACCCTGCCCTAAGCCCTGCACTTGAGCAGGTGGCACCTGTTACACTGGTGGGCCCTGGGAGAGTCTGCACTGAGTCCAGGCCACGCTCGGCCACCCCAGCTCCAGTGGACTGTGTGTCTAGCTCAGACACAGCACGGTGACTCGGGGCCAGAAGGCAGAGTCCTTCGGGAGCGTCCTGCGGAGATGGGGCAGGTGGGGCAGTCAGATCATTTCCAGAACCCGTGACTTGCATTGTGGTTCTGCAAGTACCTTGACCAACTTTTAATACCACATGGTCTACCACTCTCTAGATGAATGTGACGTGATTATTATTTCAGTCATTATTCCATTTATTGCCTTCAGGGCTGAAGGAAGGGGAAGGGGCTTTGTTTGTTTGTTTTCTGTTTCTCCTCACCCCCCTCCCCCCCCCCCATCTTTTCTTTCCCTGTCCTCGCTGGCTCACACCACACTTGATGGCGCTGTGACTTCTCTGCTCCCTAGCCGAGTGTTTCAGGCTTCATTTTCGGCTCATGTTTCCGATCTGCATGCACTGCTTGCCTCTTCCTGGTACCTGAGTGTTGGTTCCTGACTCTCCGAGTCCAACACGAATCTCCAAAACTCTCATGGGACTTGTGACACCACAAGACATGACTCTGTATAAAATGTATCGGCCTTCCTCATTGACCTGCTATAGTATTAATCGTGTTGTGTGTGCGCGTGTGCGATGGTGTCCGGCTGCCACGGGACGCTTCAAAGGAAAACCTTCAAAGCAGACCATCCTTTTTTGCATGCTCTATTCTAAGTAGAATGTTCCGTGTAACTAACTAAAACTGCATGTGGAAGATACTTAGGTTTTTTCGTTTCGTTTTGTTTTCTTTGTTTTTCTTTGTTTTCTGTTCTCTGTATATTTGCTTACTGTGCCGTTTTAGTGATTGTAAGATAAAAATGCACTGGTAAAGCAAACGTAGTGCCGGCAGAAGGTGATTTCCAGTCGTGTATCACGCAGCATTCGAAGGGACTGTGCATTCTGCGAACAATCACAGTTCTGAACCAGATTTCATTTCTAGTCTCGTTTTTCGTGCCAAACCCCAAAGTGCATTGGGCCTGAATCTCAGAACGCTGCAGACCCATTCGAAGACGGTTTTGATTGTCACAAATTGTAGTGCCTGAAAACATTCTCTAACGGATTGTCTGTTTAAAAAGGAAAGAAAGTTCTCCAAAGACAAATAGGAACAATTATTAGAACAGAAAAATAATTATCGTCCAAATGTCTGTGGTTCCTTGGATATGCTGCGCTCTTCGTATTTCCCATCTTTGGTGCAGTTTGAATGAATGTGTAGACTTCAGAGGTCTTCGTGTTCGCATTTAAACTTAGGTAAATGACCTCATCATTCAAGCTTGAATTCATTTTTTTATTTTCATTTTATTTTATACAATGTGTAGACAGTTCCCTGTTCTCTGCATTTAGAAGTATAAACTATAAATCTGTTAATTCTGTAAGTAATTTTTATAATTATGATGTAACTCTATCCTATCCTTAAAACATTTAAAATAAACCCTTTATGTGCAACTTTTGACTGTAAATTTTGTGCTCATGAGCAATGGGATGTGTTAAATCTGCTTGTGGAAAAAAATTTTTTTTTAAGTTTTACTTTAAGTTAACTTTTCTCCCTTTTGTCACATGTAAATGTCAGGTATATTTAGGAACAGAAGGGAATAGAAGTTTTATTTGAACAATAATGCTTATTAATACTTGAAGGAGAGGGACAATAACATATGTCATCCAAAATATTAAAGTTTGTGATTTACCACTAACGAGAGCTTCTAATTTATCGTAAGACTTCAAACTCAAAGCAGTCGTTTGAAACAGAGTTGAGCAGTGTGTGTTTTCTGATGTCGTACCTATTCCTACTGAGCATGCATCTCTGAGCTTCCGTTTGAACTCCAGGTAGGTTCTGTGTTGACAGGTCTCCTTTTCCCGTGGTCTGGGTGGATAGATAAGTGCTCTGTTTTCTCTTTCTGGCACTTTTAATTGGTTGGGAGCAGGGTTTATCACATGCCTTTAGTTAAATGAGGTGGGGGGAGCGTTGCCGGCTGTGCTCAGGCTCTGGCTCTGCTCAGGGAATCAGAGTTTGTGATCTGTCAATGCTGGGGCCCGTGTGGTGCTGGGATCAGACCCACGTGTCCGGATGGCTGGTGAGGCAAGCTCCTTACCCGCCACACTTTCTCTCAGCATCTTTAATTCGGTCTTTTTGTTGGTTTTGGCCCAAGGATTTGCTGGTCAGGACAGAGTAAGCCATCCCCCACTTTCTCGAAGCAGCTTATCATACCTCTGGGGAGCTGGGGTGTCCCAGGGACTGCGGGGTGGGAGGCAGGTGGCACACAGCCAGGTGGGCCGCATCCAGTGGTGCTCAGGATCACTCCTGGCTGTGGTCTGGGGTCCGGGTGCAGTGTGGGAGTTCCAGCTAGACTCAGTCCCCTGCCAGGTCAGCAACTTTCTCTCTGGCCTGGCCCCAGTGATTGGAGGCCAGTTCGGGGCACCGCTGTGTCCTGGCGGAGCCAGGTTGTCTGGAGCAGACAACACTGCCACAGCGGAGTGTGTGGCACCACGTCATGATGCCAAGGAGCGGCTTACTAGCCTGTCCCTGCAGCTAACACATCTGAAGAAAATAGCCTCTCTGCGGGAGGTCCTGGCGCAGGCTTGGCTGCTGGCTTCTTGCAGGATGGCTCTGCCACAGGATGCCAGTGTCCAGCACTCAGACTCTCAAGCCCTGGGTACTTTGCCAGCCACCCCCGTCTGAGTTCTTACCCTGTGAGGAGATGCAGCTTCCCCTGCTGCACAAATAAGCGCTGGAGGATTGTCTCCCAGGGCAGGCGTTGCCAAGACCCAGCACCCAGCTCTCGCAGGTTCCTGGCTGCTGTGCTACGTGGCAGGGCCAGTTCCTTGAGTGAGGGACAGTCGCCCTGGGCCAGTGATTTCTAGGCATGGTTTTTGTATAACGTCATTCTGTACACCCATAGCGGAGAAATCCATGCGCTGAGAATCAGGACCCAGTTTTTTTCTGGAAAGATACATGGTATCTTTTATTTTGGAGATGAATTAATTATACTGGGGAAGTATATATAATTTTTCATAATAAGAATGGAGACACTGTCTTGCTGGGGGTGGGGCTGGAGCAATAGCATAATGGGTAGGGCATTTGACTTGCCAGGTTCAATTCCTCCATCCCTCTCAAAGAGCACGGCAAGCTACCAAGAGTATCCTGTCTGCCCGCACAGCAGAGCCTGGCAAGCTCCCCATTGTGTATTCGATATGCCAAGAACAGTAACAACAAGTCTCACAATGGAGACGTTACTGGTACCCGCTCAAGCAAATCAATGAACCACAGGAGGACAGTGCTACAGTGCAGTGGTGTTTTTTAGGGGGAGGGGAGCGGTGGGCCACATCTGACAGCTCTCAGGGACAATTCCTGGCTTTGTACTCAGGAATGAACCTTGGCACCCGGTTCAGGGGTGGCATGCCATGTTGGGATCTGAATCAGGGTTGCGACCACCACAGCCACATGCAGGGCTAGTGTCATACCTCCTGCACTAGCTTTCTGTCCTCTGTTGATGTTGTATTTCAAAGACACAACATGTCATTAAGATTGATATTGATAGTCTAGATTTCTTATCAGTAGAAAACCTAACTTAGGTGATTATAGGTGCTATATCTTCTTATCAGTGCTATGTCTGACTTATGTGATAATTGTTGTATGTCACATTTGGGATTCTTGTTTTGGGTGGGAAATGGGATTGGAGTTCCCCCTCCCCCGTCCCCAGCAGTGCTCAGGACTCTACCACTGCTTTGAGATGGGGACCTGTCCTGGCTGATCTCTGGAGACCTTAAGTGTTGTCAGGAGTATGGTGCAAGGCAAGTGCCTTAACCGCTGTGTTTTCTCCACCCCTGCTTGTTTTTTTTTCAGGTTGCTGCATTTGAGAATTAGGTGAGTATGTGTGCAGGGGTTGGAGAGATAGAACACAGGGTGAAATGCTTGCCTTTGCATGCTGTGGACCCAAGGTTCAATCCCTGGCATGATTGTTCTCCTGATCTTTTCTGACTGCAGACCCAGGAGTAACCCCTGAGCACTGCTGGGTGTGGCT